TTCCATTGACTTTATACCATAAAAAAGCCATTTACAAGCAAGAAACAAGAGTTCAGAACAAAATTAAGCAGCACTGAAATATTCAATGTCACAAATCTAAAACAAAATGAATACAAGAGTAAAATATCATTTGAATAAATAGTCTTAAATTCATGCTATAAAATAATCCTTAATGGCAAGTTACGAGTTGATACAGCATCCGCTTAGCTAGCTTCATTTACTTCATATGGCGATGAAGTGTGGAGTTGTGAGGTTACCAGTTTATATTGCAAGATAATGACACTGTGTTAAGTCATTCAAATTGCTCAACCATTTATAACGGAAAAAAATTGTTAGCCCTACTAATCAAAGTGGTGAGAGAGATGGTTTTCACATTAGGAAAATGGTCATTCTCGAACAAACCATACGTTTACCTCTTACTAGAGTCAGGGCAGCAACCAAAGGCTTGGGCAGCAAGTCCAAAGGTTGAATTCACAGCATACTTGTCACTGAGGGGGCAGCAAGAGGTCTGTTTACTGAATCTGCTGCAAGGCTTACTCCAGGACTAGATCGAGAACTACACCAGCCCTGTCTGTGCCAGACCCAAGGGAACCAGAGAGAAAAGGGTCTCTTGTGGGCCAAGGAGTCAAGCACTGGGCAGAAACAGTGCAAAGACTCTGGCACTTACTGAAAAGACGTATGTGACGTGTGACAACCATTACAAATTTTGAACAATGTGAATGACTCTTCTGAACTTTCAGTTCAGTTGCACTGAGTAATATGAAATCTATGATTTATGAACTAGATAGTTTCATATAAAGAATTTACATAATTCCCCAATACTTTCATATATAAAATTTAATAAATAACCCTGACCAGTCTAGAAGCACCATTCAAGGGGCATGTGCCCTTGGAAAATAGTTTAGGTGTTGCATATTTGAGTCCCTTTCAGTGGAGGCTTCACAGGAAACCATTACAGAATTTTAACAATAATGACGACGACAACAATAACAACAACAACAAAAGAACAAAACAGAAAATCACAGTAACTAATGGAAAACATTGTTAAAATAAAATACATTGATTTCTTTAAAGTAAAGCTCGTTCACATAGATGATTTCCCCCCTGTCCCAGTCCTTGTTTTGTGTTCCTGCAAACTCTTCCTAGAGGCTATAAAAATGAAAGTAAAAACAAAACCACACACAAAAATATGCAGGCCTATGGTCTGGGCTAAGGGACAAATAAAGACTTGGTTATATAACTGCTATCATTAGAAAAGACATCTAGTCATGCTCTGGAAGATTTAGAAGTTATCAATTTAGCTCTACAGTATATTCTGCTTAACAGTGAACCGACAGTATCCTTTCTGCTGTTAAAAAAAAAACACAGCAACAACAAAAAACAAAACTGCCAAGGCAGAGCCCATTGGGAGGTTCTCCACTGACCCCAAAATTAACTTGACTTCATATACTGTATTTACAAATATCACTTCTAAATGTATTTACAGCTTTAGTAGAAATTAGAGGGTAGAGAACTGATTAGAATGAAAATAACTGTTTAAAACCACAAACATTAGTAAAAGTAGAAAATTCTTTGTTTTCACAGTTTGTAAGAACAGGTTAAACACCTCGAGAAAAGGACGCTGTCACTGTCTTCACATTGCCTACGTGTTTGAAAAGGTAGCTCAAGAAGAGACTCAATTATGAACGAACCTATATGGATTCAGGATGTATTTTACTGTAAAAGACTTCTTCACATATCACTTGTGTCTTAATTGTTTATGCATTTGTTATAAGTGAAACATCTAACCTAAAAGTGTACAGAAATAGGGACTTTGCTTTCCAAAAAAAAAAAAAAGAGTTGCTCTAAAGAGTTACACAGCGGACTTCGTCTGTGGAGACGTGAAGTGAACTTCGGGGACAGAATGTTTCTGTTGTGTGGTCACGTTAATCCTCCTGGCACATCCTCATGTGACAAGGCACAATTAATTGCTGCTGCCCGATCTGAACGGAGTTAAGCTTTCACTGGCCATGCACACGAGGAGCACGGCGCCCAGCTCTGTGCTGGTCTGCGTGCGGCCTCCCGCGAAGCCCTGTGGAACCTTACAGTACTGGGTTATGGCTTGAGAATTCATTCTGAGCACTGCTAGCAGTGGAGAAGGTATAGTGTTAGCAACATGAATGGGAGCAAGTGGAACTTGCAAAATGTGGAATCATTACTCGAGAGAAACGCAATCAATTTTTCTGCCCCTTAACAGTCCCATTACAATGTCTGAACCTGAACTGTACAATCAAAGCAATGTAGATTTTTTTTTTTTTTGTCAAAGACAATTTTGGATAAGTCACTCTTTGGTAAACTCAAACCAGTTAAACAAACTTACACACACGAAGAACTCCATGTACATAAGGTTAAGACGGACACGGTGACAAGAACCAGGACATTGGAGGCGCTTGCCCCAAGTGCCTTCCCTCCTCACTTGTCTCGTGTATCACAGAATGCTCTGGAGACCTCTCAGGAGGAAGGCCCCAAGCCTGAGTGAAAAGGAGGTTCCTTCCCTGAGCCTGACCTCTCGTGTCCTCGATTTGGGTGTTTCTTGTCACAAACTTTAATTTGTATCACAACACAAATTTTTTGCATTTAATTCTTTGAAGAGAAAAAAAATCAAAACCAAACTTATTCATGTAAGGAAAAAAAAAATTACAAACATTTACCTGAAACCCCAGAACATATTTTAAGTGGGTAAACACTGGGGGTCCAGCCTCCCCTTGAGGCACAGGGCTTTGCAGGAGTTGAACAAGTGCTTCAGGGAGAGAACAGGCCCCGGACTTAGGCAGTCTGACAGGAAAAGGCATACTATATACCCGGTTAGCAGAAGCTGCTCCCTGAGCAGCAGGACTCGCGTGTGTCTGGACGTAGTAACACTGATGTGGAGCGTGGTGGTCACGCCGTGTGGACAGACCCCCTGTGCTGAAGAGATATTACTGCACAGCTACCACCCGGGGGGGGGGCGGTCACACACAAGGGCCTGAATAATTTTTTTTCCTCCAGAACCAAAAAACAAAACAAAACAAAAATCCCCAAACACTCCCCCACCCCAACTCCATTCTTGGTATTTTAAGAGCCAAAAAAGCATGGAAAACCGGCAAACTTCTATTTTTGTATTCCTTTTAACTCCTTGCTTCTGAGGTTTCACTTTTTTTTTTTCCTCTCACGGGGTTTGTGCTATTCTCCTGGGGAGACACGCTGGTTGTGAGTTTCAGGGCCAAGGTTCTCAAAGCAGAGGAGTCTGGAGTGCTGATATCTTACCAGCGGCCCATGGCACAAACTCAACACTAAACTGCTCACATTACTCTCTGCTGGAGCATACAGTACCAGAGCAATCTTATAGAGCCTGTTTTGTATACCAGAAGCACATGGGCGAACAAAATATAAAACTCAAGACATTTCCTCAAGCACTAATAAAACATTATCCAAATAGGACTTGGGTTGTTGGTTTTTTTTTAAATACAGTAATGTGTTTGCCAGCACATGCTTTTGAGGTCTTTTTTTCAAGCTATAAACTCAGGAGAGGAAAAAAAAATTGTAATTCACTTTTACCATTACATTTCACATTTGCTACAACTATACTGACCTAAAAGATACATAACATAAAAAATAGCACCACGTGACCAAAAAAACAGAGACACACAGAGATTTGGTGACACATACAGTATCTCAGAGGGCTTTTTAACTGTTGGTTTCTTTAAGCAGGAAACACTGAGAGTGGGGGAGCCGATGAGGCTCTCGTCAGCACACACAATACTAAGATAGATATATTGCTTGCAATTCCCATAGAGTATATCTTTACAAAAAGTACAAATTCCAAGTTCTGCAGTTTCCCTGGGAACTGCACGTAGAAAAAGTTGCTGTGCACCTGAACTGGCTGTTTGAAAAGAGAAAGGTTAAAAAAATAACAGAAAAACAAAAAAGAAAACCACAACACTGCTTGGAGAATTTTGTAGACAGAACTACAAATTCCTTTCCTTTACTGAGAGTACTAACTCACGGTAGAGAGCAATTCGATTTAGTTACCTGGTATGTGTGTTTCTACAGTACGGAATGAAGGTAGATTCGGAGGCCAGTAAAAACATTGAAAACCACTGCTCCTTTGGGGTTGGCTACTATAACACTACAATATGTAAAAAGGTCAGCACCACGGGTCATCCAGCTTACCTAACTGGACAACTAACAAAAATTCCAAATGGTTTCCAACGAGAGTTGAATACGTTTTATGGCATTTGGTTTATGTGTTTGTTATGAAGCAGAGCTATGAACACTGTGATTTGCTTTGCTTGCTTTTGGACACAATGATTAATATATATATATGAAAACCTATTAACATTCTTTAATAAGGGAAATAAAGGGGCAAAACCCTAACATATTAGGTAGGGAGAGACAGAGTCCAAAGCCCTGTTCACATTGTATTAAATTATATATTCCTCTTACATTCACCTCAACCAGAATAAAATCAAATTTGAGAATGTATATATACTATATATATAATAATCACTTTATTATATATATATATAAATTGTCTAACTACCCCCTAAAAGTAATTTTAAATTAGAAAAGGTTACCCATTTGTATCAGCTGACGGCATCCCAGTCTCTCTCCATGGAAATGCACTGGCGCCAGTGCACACAATCAGAGTATGCCTCTTGGCAGAAACGGAGGGTCAACCAGTTGGCATAGCTAAATCACTGGCAGATATTGGATGAAGAGTTCGGCCAAAGAGGAATACTGTCAGCCTGTTTTCCCTGGATACACTGCCCTTCATGCTTTGAGCTCCTTGGGGGAGGGAGGGCGGGGGGTGGGAAAGGATAAACACCATGAAGTGTTCCTTCCAGAAACCTTAGAAAAACTGCCAAGAGACCAAGAGATTTCCAGATGGTTGGGAAAACCAAAGATGACAACAAAGCAAATCACAAATAGGCATTGATTAATGTGCTTTGCGTGGGTGCACTTTTTTTTTTTTTACCATCTTAATCAGGAGCATCGGACACCGTGTGAATTTCCATCCGGGAATCCAGGGCCATCTCTGAGGCCGAGGCATCGTTTTCTAGTTTCTGTTCCGCATACACGTCCGTTCTCTCAGGGGACTCCATGCGACTGCGTACTTCGGCCACGCCGGGGTGGTTTTTCCGCAGGTGCTGGTTGAGGGTGCCTTGGAAAGGGAAGCACTTCCCGCAGATCTCACAGCGGAACGGCTTGTCGTCGGTGTGGCCCCGGATGTGGTACTCCAACTGGTCCTTGCGCGTGTACTTCTTCCCGCAGAACTTGCATACAAAGGGCGTGATTCCCATGTGGAGTCGCATGTGCCTGTCAAGGCTTCCCTTCTGGTTGAAGGACTTGCCGCAGTAGATGCAGATCAACCTCTCGTTGTACGGGTACCAGTGACCTCGCGCGCTCCTCTCCCTGGGGCTGCTCTCGAAGCCTGGGTTATTCACCACGACCTCGCTGTCGGAACCCTGCACCAGGCCCTGCAGATCACTGTGCAAGTGGACGGACAGGGCCCGCTTCTGGCGGGCCCGTCCTCCTCGGAAACAGCTCAGCATGGATCTGGAGGGGCTGGAGTTACTCAAACTTCCAAACGCCTCAGATACACCACCAACCGGCTGTGAGGCTGCCTGGCAGTAGGAATACGCGTGCTGAAGCACAGAACCATAGGAACCCACGTTCACGGCCACGACTTGTTCCCCATCAACCATCTCGGTGTGGTACCCGTCGTCTCCCAAGGATGAGCTGTCGGAACAGCTGGGCCGGTCAGACTTCTCCATCTTCACTTTCACCTCGGTGATCTGGCTCTCCCTCCCCAGCAGGTCCCCTTGCTCATGGTCCCCCTCGATTTGGATCTCATACTCGGAGACGCTCCCACTGCTCCCTCGGTCCGAGTGCCCTTCCTCCTGTAAACGGCTGCTGCGCAGAGCTTTGCTGGGTGTGGTCTCCATCCGAAGATCGCTGCTTGTGGTGGGCTGCCGTACCTGAGAGCAGTATGGCGGGGAGATCTCCACTGGGTTGGCAAAGAAGCTGCTGTCTTTCACTCCATTGCGGCTCTCCGAGGTCTCTTCCGCACCGACGGTCACAGAGTCCACATCTCCCACACTGATTTTTGAATGGATGCTCTCTAGGATCTGCGTGCACTTGTCAATGACACACTGCATCTGAAGAAAGCTAGCTGCTGTCAGAAAACTGACAACATCCTTCAGTTGCAAGGACATTCTTCCAGTGTAACAAAATGAAAGCAACTGTTCAAACACATTAGGGTTTTTAATCACTGATATCGACAAGCCACTCATGGTACTTAGTGCTGAATGGTCCCGGAAGTAGGGGGAGCTGGCCGCAAGGACGGCTTTGTGGGCTCGGAATGGCTGACCCTGAATGTGGACAATGATGTCACATAGTTTTCCTTGCAGGCGGAGTTCGTTTAGCTGGCTCAGGACGGTGCTGCTGTACTCGGGCACATCAAACTGAATAAAACTGCTGCTGTCCATTTCTACTGACATGAAGCGTAATCTGAGGAAAGAGAGAGTTTCATAATTCACCAGTGACTCCTCACTTAAGTACAAGCCGTATAAACACAACCATGCAAAAAAGACCACCACCGCCATCACTGTAGCTACTGCACCTCTTAGGGTCTGCCTGAGCAATTTTCCTCTTATTTTCAGTCCTTCATGTCTCGGTTAATTCACCTAAAGCTAAATAATTTAATGACCAATTAGCCTAGAGTCTTAGCTGCCTTTCATCTTGATTGAAGTAAAACATGTTACATATAGTAGGGCCATCTTTGCTCTAATTGCGAACTTGGTATCCTTTTGAGAAATATGTTTTCCTGTTTCACCTACCTTTGAGGAGTTGAAGCACTCTGTAAAAGATAAGTAAATTCATTTTTTAAAATGTTCTGCCTTATGTGCATATTTTCAATTGGTGTTTTTCAAGTATACGGCACACCGGATACATTGAATGGAGCATAAACCCTTTTTAGTTTAGAATTTGAGTTGCTGTCTTGATGTACGTTTTTTCCCCTCTTCAGCTCTACACACCTTTATCTCCTTTGGGGTTGGTAATTCATAGAGCAATTCTCGATCTCTTTCAGTGAAGAGGTTTTAGAGGGTAGGAGCAAGAGTGATGGACATACCAGGAGTGTATCATCCTCTGCCAGTGCTTATGACGTTAACTGCCACCCTGCCTAGAATCCACAGCTCTGATTACTCAAAACTACAGAAGGTGGAGACCTCAGGCTGCATTCTCTGACCACAACCAAATTAGATCTGACATTTATATTTCTGTTTTTAAAGCCCAATCAATAGAAATTAAAACACCTCCTGAATAAGTACTGAATCAAAGAGAAAAATCAATAAGGAATAAAGCTGTTTAGAAAATAAGAAAACTCACATCAAATCTGCAGTAAGAAGGGTTTAGGAATGAAATTTATTTATACGTCCAACTTAGTTGACAATGCATCAAAAAAGAAATAGATAGATATGTGATAAAGCAAACAGAGTAAAATGTTAACAAGTGTGGCATCTAGATTCAGTATACAGTTGTTTATTGTATAATAAAATTCAACTTTTCTGTATGCTTGAAATTTTTCACAATGAAATGCTGGGGTTCTCAAATAACAAATTTTAACAGGCAATATCAATGCCTTAAAACACTTTTATCATTGAAGAATAAAAATAAATGAAATAATGAAGAGGTTAGAAAAGGAACAATAAGTTATAATAAATCCAAAGAAAACAAAAAAGTAATATAGACGAGTATTTAATCACAAAGTTTTAAATTTTAAGATAAGACAATGTGCAACTAAATTTAAGACTCCTTCAGAAAAAGATCCATCAGGGTGATAAATCACATCAGAATATTTTTTAATCACATCAGAATTTGTTAAAAACATTTTAGAGAGGAATCTTGTGCCCTTATTTATTCTAGATTTATGATTGAAATCAATCTGAAATCTGAGTGGCATAAATATATTTTCAGGATAACAAAAACTGGCAGTATTAAATTAAAAAGAAACAAGTGCTAAAGCACAAATGACCTTCAGGGCATTCACACTGTTCTAGATGCATGCTCAAACAGGTAAAGCATCTCTGTTCATATGGCATATGTCTGATACCAGGAAATGGCAAACAGCATAAAGACGACTGTCAAGTTTACCTCAGTAAAGAGACTTCACTAAACAGACTTTCTTTAATATCCTAAAGGAAATATTAGCAAAAATAACTCATTAAAGGAATAATATATTATGATCAAGTGTAAGGATGGCTCTCTCTCTGTAGTCGCTAAGTCATGTCCGAGCCTTGCAACTCCATTGACTGTAGCCTGCCAGGCTCCTCTGTCCATGGAATTCTCCAGGCAAGAATACTGGAGTGAGTTGCCATTTCCTTCTCCAAGGATAGCTATATATTATGAAATACACAAATATAATTTGCAACCTCAGTAAGTCAAAGGTGAAAAACCATATGGCCATATCCATTCTATGCTGAATATGCATTTTAGAAAGTTAAGTTACTTTCAAAGTAAGGAACAAAATACTCAATAAGCTAGTAAGGCCAGAACAATATTTTCTTAATATAATAAAGTGTCTACTGCAAACCAATGGCAACATCACCTTGAAAAAGGAAACACATCTGCATTTCCCAAAATGTATTTAGTAGAACACAAGCCCCAAGCTCACCATCACGACCTCCTAGGACTTAAAAACATTAGCATAATAACCCATCTGCAAAGTCCTGTGGACAAGAATTCTATTCAACTCAGCAGTTTGCAAACTTATTTAACCATGAAGCTCTTCTCTCAAGGTACACATATTAATATTCCAAAGAATTAGTGTTCCCAGGCACACACTCTGGTAAACACTTTTGTAGAATTCCCGTTAATGCCTGCAAAGCTACAAGGTTGTCTACCCATTACTTCTTTTACCTAACATTGTTCTTGATGTTCCAGGCAAAGCAACAAGAGAAAACTAAGGCATATAGCCTTTAGAAAAGAGGAGGTGAAATTACTTTTCAAGGTAGATATGATTATTTACATAGAAAATACAAAAGAACTGCTTGAAAAAAATCTGTTAGAATCAGGATCTAATAATAGGAGGATTCAAAAAATTATTATTCATAAAAAAACGGTTAGGTAAGCTAATGACAAGTTACAACCAACAACAGTTACCGAAACTATAAAACACTTGGGGGATAAACAAAAAATAGGATCTACAAGAAGAAAACTCTAACACTTTAATAAGACGAAAACACATACAAATGAAGACACATACGCTTCTGGCAGGAAGATTTGGTACTGTGAAGATGAAGACATTTCCTGCAAGTTAGTTTGTAAATATAATGCAGTTCAATGGGGTATTTTATTAGAAATCTGACAAAATGGTTTTAAAACTCATCTGGAATACTGCTGTCCAACAGAAATATAATGTAAACGATGTGTAATGTTTTCTAGCAGTTAACATTTTTTAAAAGTAAAAATATAAACTTTAAACCATTTTTTAAACCCAATATAGCTAAAACATTACCATTTTAAGATCAACATTAGAAAGTTATTAATGAGATATCTTATATTCTTGTTTCCATACTAAGTCTTTTTTTTCCATTATTATTTCCATTTTATTGATTAGGAAACTGAGATACAAGAAAAGGGTCTTACTCAAGGTTACCTGGGTATTTCCACAACACTCTTAGAATTTCATGTCTGTCATACTAAGTCGTTGAAGCATGATGTATATTTTATATTTATAGCACATCTCAATTTGAATAACGACATTTCAAGTGCTCAACAGCCATAAGTGGGCAGTGGCTACCATACTGGGTAACAAAGATCTAGAAGAATAAATATAGAAAAATTACAGAAAAATAAAAATGCAGCCAAACACACAGATGTCAAAATGGATGAGTAGGCTGTAATTCATTCATTTTGTAAATATACACTGAGTGTATGTATTTATACTCTGTATAAATGTATGCTCGGCACTAGGGACCCAGGTGAGCTGCAGTTCTTTTGTTGTGAACTGTGGTAAGAGCTGAAAGATCTTTCATAACGGAGGACAGAAGGATGGCATCTCTGCTGAGACCTCAAGGATGAGTAAAGGTTAGCCAGATACTGGGGGGTGGGGGTGCAGGGAGATGTTCCGGTCTTCCAGACAGAAGGAGTCACATGCACAAAGGATGAGAGGCTGCGTTGGGAAGGAAGGAAATGCTGGAGCACCGTGGCACAGCTAGGACAGGAGCAGGGCAGAGAACACGTGCAGTGACCAAGGTGGGTAGAAACCAGACCGCGACAGGCCTTCAGGGGCCATTTCCAACCAGTGACAGAGGGAGATTTCTGGAAATAGATGCTGCTTGGATAATATAAATAAATAATAATAAAGCCATATCCCTTCTTCACAACACACTCAAAAATAACTTCGAGAAGACAGATATCAGAAGAAAGGGAGATTTAACTATTTAAGTATAATAAAAACTTCTTTACATCTAAAAAATTTATTTTTATCATAAAAAAGAGATAAATTATGAAAAATATATAACATCCATGGCAGAGAATTATAAAACTCTTACAAATCAATAAAAGCCAAATAGGACAACTGAAAAGTGAGCAAAGAATATGAACTGATGCTTAAAAAAAAATTAAAACAGCCTTTAAACATAGCAATAAAATGCTTAACAACTTCATCAATAAGCCAAAATATAAAAATTAACACAAGACATAATTCTTCTTTCTCAAATTGCCCAGGCTTTTAAAAGTGCAACTCAGTAGGCAGTGATCATAGGAAGAGGGATGCTCTCATATACTCTGGTAAGCAGATAAAACAAAAACCTTAAAACGGGAATTTCTCTCGACTTAGCACTCTGTACCATAAAAAAAGTCATGAATAAAGGCACAAGAATTTACTCATAACTATATCCAATTACGAGGCAAATAATGGAAACAACCTAAATAAATGTTCGACAATAAGGGAATTATTAAATTCCCTATTTATAGTGATACACCTATACACTGAATACCAAGTCATAACTAAAATGATGTTAAAGAAGAATTCAAAGTTCCACAAAATGTAAGTACTATGAGGGTAGGAATTTTTATCTGTTTTATTAACCATCTGCCAGATAATTGCCTGGCACATGGTGGATACTCAGTAAACATGTGCTGAATAAATATTTAGTGACAGCAAAAAATCAGATCAACTGCAGATGAACAGGAAGGATTTTTATGGGTGACGGAAATGGTCTAAAATTGAATTATTACGATAGTCTGACAACTTTTTAAGTTTACTAAAAAAGTCACTGAATTGTATACTTAAGATGGGCGTTTTTATATGTAAGTTATTCCTTGACAAAGCTGTTAGAAAAATCAGGTGATCACAGAATATAAAGGATATTTCTAAAAGTATGTATGTATTTACAAATATTAAATAAACAGAGATAATATTAAAGAATATATATAAAACATTTACATTAATGAAACAGTAAAGATGTTTTAACTTTCTTCTTTGTATTTTTCTGTATGTTCCA